GGATTGAAAGGCACAGCACCACTTATTGCAGTGGCTGGAATCTTTTTTTTTCTTCTTCCGTATAGCCTCAGCTGCCATACGGAATAGGGACGTTGCCAAGACAATGCTCTTGATTGACGGCCATTGCCAAAACCGCAGACATTTTAGAGCATGAAGGATGATTTCAAGACTTTGCACATTGAATGATGAATGCTGCCTACTGCAGCACTTCTTCTTTGGGAGTGAAGGGCTTGAGTTTGCCAAGTTTTTCCAAACTTAGTGAGACTTCGCTGTGTTAAATGCCATTCACAAGGACTAACAGCTCTGCTTAAAATTGCACCAATCTAGACAGAGCCAAAGGCAAAACAAGCGGATTTAATCAAGGAATAGTCTTAAACTAGTCGATAAAATGCACCAACTGGAGACCGAGAATTAACAGCTTTTTATTAACAACTGATATTTGACACATATAACAGTTTAGGGAATCACTTTAACCACTGCGAATAAAACAGAGATGCCACCATTGATAACGTGTTATTTGGTGGTGGTGTCAAAATCTGAGGGCCTCAACCTACAAAGTATGCAATTTGATGGCCTCCACATCTAAGTCCAGGTTGATTGTCGTCTGGAAAGCCTTCCTGTGGCCTCATCAACAGTTAATTAAAACGAAGAAGTAAAATTATTACTATCATTACCTTTCCACTAGGTAGAAGAAGGCATTGGTAAGGCTGAGTATACTTATTTCAGGAGGAGATGAAGGGATCGGATTTGGGCTTGCCCTGAAGCCTAGCCCACGTGCATAAGTGCCGGGCGAGTGCCAAAGTAAGCGCCAGTCATAGGGATCCGCATCCACATTCTCCGGTTTCACTAAACTCCTCCTTTATTTCTTCACCTGTCATACTCCTTTACCTCCTCTGGTCAATGCTGTTCGTGTGTTTAGGCACGACTACAATCTCACTAAACACTTGCGCACCTACTTTTGGAGCGAATTTGGATGATCAACATCATAGCAGGATGGATTATGAAAACCCCGACCTCGAAGTCTAAAAATTTTTAATGCC